TGTGCACTAACAGCATATTACCAGGCAGAGATTATGGGACTATGGATGTGTTCCTTAGGAAATACTTTTATAACATATCAACAATGAGGAGTTCTAGACATTAGTAAATTTTACTTAATAACTGATTGGACTAAATCATTCCAACAAAACACATTAACAGTATTCATGTGGTTCAAATATAACAATAGCCTTTCTTTATAATCATGAATTTATCCTTTATGCACATGAATTCCATAGAGGACAAAAGCTACCTCTACAAGATATAGATTGTTTTATTCTTAAATATTCACAAAGGAAGGAACAAGAACAGGGAAAGGAAATTGAGATTGCTGTCAATATTCAAAAGGGCAAATCAGCAGAGAGTTCACTTCTGGGAGATCTCTCATCTGGATAAATTAAAATTGATGGTTAGACCAAATGGACAAGATAGTCAGTAGGATCATGGATTCAGTTCACAGAGGGCTGCTGAACAAACACCATGCTCTTTGCCACCAGGCAATCAGAATGAGATTTAGTACATCCGATGTATGGCCTATCTTCCTCATCCTTTACCTTGACCTGCCTCACTTTGCTGTCTGACCGATACTTCATTTCCAAGTCCCTGGCTCTTAGACTTCTTACCTACTTATATAGTGGCAGTTTTCACCTTTTTTGGATAAATGGATAGGTTTATAATTGCTAGTTTGTATGGACATGTTTTCTTAGATTTTGTAGAACTGACCTAACTTTTCCAGAGTGGCTATAACCATTTCACATTCTCATTTTTAGTATATGAATGACACTGATTCTCCATAGTCTCACTAGCACTGGGAGATTATCACTATTAAAAAATCATTGATAGGTTAAAAATGGAAAGATATATGATTGCATCTTTTTCATTTCCCCCAGGATTAGTTATGTCAAACAAGTTTTTATTCATTTATCTGTTGTCTTTGGAAAAATATCTGCTCAAATCAAGTCTTTAGGCAGACTTTTGAGAGTTCAAACCCATATTCATATCAGTTCTCCAATGAGGCTTGGACTATGTTTAGAAACGTCACTTGGCTCTAGTTCTAGAGAGACCATTCCCATGTAGTTTTCCAAGGAGTTTATCAAACAGCACATGAATCAATAACAATTCTGACAAATTAGTCCACCAGTTTAGAAGAATAAATTCATATGTACCATAAAACATTTCAACTCCAAAAAAAAAAAAAAAAAACCAGACAGCATATGCATTGCCAAAAGCTCTGCCATCTAGTGATATCTATATTAACAATTGGGGAGTATATTTCCAGACTTTTGCATTTTCTGTACAATCAAAATAAGCTGACAACTCATGATGCTATCCCGTACTTTCTCCAAAGATATGATATATAACCTTTCACTTTATAAATCTTCATTACCATTTTAATGCCAGAATTCTTAACCTAGTATATACGTGTATATGTTTACTTCCCTAGCTTCTCTATTAATGGATATTGTTTGCTTCTATAAGCAAAGGTTTAATAAATCTTATAAGGATAGTTTTGTGAAATTTTTTTTGTAATTATTTTCTTCGTTTAAATATCTGGGAGGATTGCTGAGCCAAAATTCATACACATACATGTATGTAAGTAAATATAAACCAACATAGGCACATACATACATGTATCAGTTTGTTGACATTTACAAGCTGCCATTGAAAAGACTGTCCATTTATATTCCCACCAACATTACCCTAAAATTCTAAAAATTCTCTCATTTGCCTGCCTTTCCAACAAGCTTTATTTTCTTTCCTTTTAAAGATGGGAACACATAAGTCAAAGCAACTTATTATTATTTTACAATTTTTCAACCACGGTCTGAGGCAAGATGCAGAAGTCTGTGAGGCTGGGTCAGTAAAAGTCTTGCAAAATGTTCTTCTTCCTCCGGTACATTTCTTGAGAATGTGGGTTGCTTCAGTGGCTTCATAATCTGATGGTCTGGCCTGGTTACTAATAATGTTGACCTTGAACAGGGAATAAGGACAAATAATACACTGATGGCATTTACTTGTGGATGGAGAAAGTAAGATTTCTGAGAAAAATGAAGAACATATTACTATCACATGTTCAAAATTCATAGATGGAAAACTACAGCATATAAGCTGAGCTTAAAGCAAGTCCCACTGGCAAAAGTTAGAAGTAAATTATGAATTGGAGGCTATTGAAGTTTGAGATTGTTTAAATACTCCCTCCTTTTTCATTTGACCAAGCAATGGAATACATCATTTAGATTGTAATCCGGAGTAAGAATGGCTTATACTGACATATTTCCAAATTTGAAACTTCAAAAAAATCATAGTCTAGGAGCTTATTTTTCAAGACCCAACAGAAATTTGATTTAATGCACATGCCTATCTTTTTTTCCAAATGATATTCATATATTTTTGCTTATAAGATTCCCAGATGTATTAACACATGACCAAGTGAAAATGATCAGTTCTAGTGATTAGGAAATAGGTATTTATCATTTACCACCAATTTTAGACAAAAGTCTCAGTTACAGTATACATCTTATTTCATTCTAGCTTTGTTCAGTAGATTTTTTTCAATGCAATTTAGCAATTTAACTGCTCCCCTCCCTGCTTTTAAATCAGAATCCTCCAAAATATTCCTGGATTGTAGAAAATGAATTTGAAGTTTTTCAAGATGTTAAAGAATTTTTTTTTGAGTTCTGGAAGTTTTATATCTTTCAATTTATGGTGGGTGTTAGGACTCAAAGTGGAAATTCTTTAACCACTGTACATCTGTGTGTTAAAAGCATAATAACAAAATGCCTCATAATCTGTGGCTTTATCCTCTTCTAGGCATTTAAGCCTCATTGAGTTTCTCTGTACCAGTACACACTTGGAGGTACTTTTCCAACGTCTGCTAGAGAAATAGGTGTGGTGGATCAGGAAGTTCCAGTTTAGTGTGACTTTGGAAAAATTCCTAATATCTTAGCATCATTAAGACCAGGAGGTTGACTTAGAAACTTCAGGAAGGCCCTTCAAATACAAAATTATGTGAAAATAATGAAGAGCATGTCAAATAAGCCAGGTGTGGTGATTATTGCCTTTAACCCCAGCAGGCACATCTCCACGGTTTGAGGCCAACTCCACGTACAGAGTTCCAGGCTAGCCGGGAATACACAGTGAGACCCTATCTCAGAACAAGCAAACAACAGCATGCCTCAAATGTCCTCAGAGCTTGTTGTGACTGTTCTCCTAGCCAAGTATACTTCGTCAAGTGGAGTTCAGCTGTACCCCCTTGCAAAAGGATTATCTCAGCTGGTAGAGGGGTGTTTCCAGCTGCTACTACCATCTATTGTATGTGACTCTGCCCTGAATTGCACGTGGCCTCAGGGATGGGACTAGAGTATATAGATGGGGAAGAGGAGAGGTGGGGCTCCATCTACAACAGAGAAGCCTTCATCCCTGGTGGGTAAAATGCTTTCCAGGTATGGCCTTTTGAGAGCAGGAGCACCCACACCCCTGTTAAGTAACCCCTCACCTGTGCTCTGTAAGGAAGCCCAATAAACTCATTGGTTCTCCAAAGTGAACTTTGGTGGAATTATGCCTCCATTTGTCCTTGGGGACCCTAGGAGAAGTGGTACATTGGCTTATATCTCCCCGAGGATGAAATATTAGCAATAGGCTCAACAGATGACTCCTTGGTAAATACCACTTGATACTCTTCAGAGGACCTGAGGTCCATCACCAGCACCAACATGGAGGCTCACAACCATCTGTAACTCCAATACCAGAGTTATTTCTGAGGGCACCAGGCATGCATGTGATGCACAGACAGACATACATGCATGCAAAACACTTATAAAATTTAAACTTGGGTGAAATAAAAATCTGTACTTTTAGAATTTCAATAAAAATATCATGAAAATAAAAGGGTCGTATTTGGGATGAGAAAGGGGGATCAGTAGAAGGGACAAGATGGGCGATGAGTAAGACAAAAATGTATTAGACACATGTATTTAGATGTTATAATGAAGCCCATTTTTTTGTACACTATATGCTAATATGTCCTTTAAAAACTAAAAAAAAACCACACACACACACTATTTCTGGTAGGCATTTTCCTTACAAAGGCCAATCTTAAGCCTAAAAATTGAAAAACCTGGTGATTTTGCACAAAATGTAGTAAGTGGTAAGTCAGGATTTGCCATGCCAAGAGGAAAAAGTTTAAAGTGTACCACTGCCTCTGAAATCCTCAGAGGATTAAAGTCAGCTCTCTATGTCATCTGTCTTGTGAGCTCAGGCCTTGGGGACTGTCTTTAAGCCCAAGAGCTGAGCGGAGAAGGAAGGCTCAGAGGTGTCTAGTCTCTCCCGTACTTTTGGCAGGTTCTCTGCTGTCTCTGGACTGGCTCTCAAACGCGCTGTTTTTTGAAATGATCCGCGGCTTCCACATAAACGGCTTGACCGAAAAAGGTACCAAGAACAGTTTCATGTTAGGGACTTGAAATTTCTCTCCCAACTTTACTCTCCTTCATCCCGCTTTAGCACAGATTTCGCAGCTGGGGAAGTAAGTGAAGGCACTTGAAGGGCCAGTTAGCATCCTTGCCGGAAACCGGGAGACCTGCAGGAGCAGCTTGAGGCGTCCGAGCACCAAGGCTGGCCGTACCTCACAACCGATAATAATGGAGGAAAGCGCCCTGGGAAACTGCCTCAGGAAACTCCCCGCATCGGCACACCCAGCCGCACACCCTCCAGCGGGTGGATCCCGCTACAGTCATCTTCTCCTGCGGAGAGGGCGTTCCCGTCGGTTAGCACCACGCCCCGCCGCCCGGCGCGAGCACGCGGCAGGCCCCCCGGAGGCCATTCCGGGGGCGGGGTCTCCCAAATCTCGCAGCTCTCGACTGGTGTCCTGTTGCTAAGCGACGGGTGGGAGGCGGGGCCGGGGCCGGGGGCGGGGGGGGGTAGGCTGGGCGTTTAGCCCGCGGGGCCGTCGTCCCTCCTCTCCCCTCCCTCTCCGGGCCGCGCCTCCAGTTCCGCGTCGGCCACGCCCCCACGCGCAGTCCGAGCTGCGCACGCGTGGTGCGAGCGGCCAGCTTATTCCTCGGCCGGGCTCGCGGTGTAGCCGAGTGACCCGGCAGCACTGGCACCGCCGCTGGAGCCGGCCGGGAGCCGGTAAGCCGAGTTGTCTCGAGGCAGGAGCAGCGCGGGCACTGCCGCGGGTGCCTTCCGCGGCTGAGGAGAATGGTCTTCGAGTCGTTGGTCGTGGACGTGCTGAACCGGTTCTTGGGGGACTATGTGGTGAACCTGGACGGGTCTCAGCTCTCTCTGGGCATCTGGAAAGGTAACGGGTGGGTCGCCGTCCCAGTGTCGTGGGAGACGGCGGCGCGGCTTCTCGTGGCTTCGGTCCTTGGCCAGCCCGGCGCCGCCACCTGCAGCTGCCCGCCTCGCCCTTCAAGTTACGTAAAGCGGGGCGGCGGTTCCCGGGCGGGCGGCGCGAGCCCAAGCCTCCCGTCCCGGTGGGGCCGGGCAGGCGCCGGTGACCTCTGGCCTCTGCTGGGCCAGGGAGCCATCCCTGTCACTTTCCCCTCCGGGGCTGTAAGGAAGGCTCCAGGGAGCCCACGGCATGTCGCCCGCCGCCTGGCACGTGAAGGCCAGGCGCTGTTCGCCCTTCGTCCCTTTCTCTACCTACCTCACTTCACCGTGCTCTCTAGGCGAGTTCCGGTCGCTGAACCTGGACTTGGGGGTTGCTTAGCTGCGGTAGGCTGATAACGGGGGCGGGGGAGGAGGGAAGAAAAGGAAGCCCCCTTTTAGAGTACGTCAAGGAGTTGCTTCTGTATTCAGGTCGCAGCCTAACCAGGTGGGGATGTCGGTATTTGTGGGTCTGAGTAAAAGACTGAGTTAAAAAACAAACAAAATGCAGGAGAACAGAGGGTCAAAATCTAAATGGGCGTTCAGTATCTCGGCTAACTTAAAGAAGACATGATGAGCACTCACCAACGTTGCTTAAACGGGAAGGGCTGCATCTGCCACTTTGCTACAATGCTTTACCTTATCCAGCGTCTTATTTTTAGTGCTACCATCTGTTTTGTATTATGGTCTTGTTTATTTTACATAGCTACTATTAATTTTCGAAATGAGTGTTCCAGGTTAAAATTAGGGCTAATAATTTGTGGAAATAGTGTGCTCATTCTCGGATATGCACGTACTTCCAGCTTTCTAGAAGTACTCGTTTATCTTAAGCGTTCTCATTTTTGAAATAATGTAAGCGAGAAATTTAGTTTTATTAAACAAACAAACCCTCTTGTAGCTAGTTACCTTCTACCACGGTAAAGTGGGCAAACATTGATCCGTAAGTGCTAGCTCAGCCAATTTGAGACCAGCTGCTTGCAGATTGGCTTAATCGGTGCTGCTTCTCACTGGCAAAGTGAGAAGAACAAAACTGGCTTCTGTACCTCAGAAAGAAGCCTTAAAAATACCTGAACTGGGGGCTGGGGAGTTGGCTCCCTGCTTAAGAGCACTGGCTGCTTTTGCAGATGACTTGGGTTCAATTCCTAATGGCCACATGACAGCTCACAACCCTCTGTAGTTCCAGTCCCAGAGCTTCCGCCTTCCTCTTCTGGCTCTGGGGGTGCGGGGGTGGGGGTTGGGGGGAACGGGGGGGGGGCACTGCATGCAGGCATGTGGTGCACAAACATACACGCAGGTCAACCACCCACACACATAAAATAAAAATACAAGAAAAAAATTAAAAAGAACAAGAAAAAAAAACTTTTGAGTTGTGGTTTGATTTGTAGTGAAATGTTGCTTCTGTATTCAAGGTGTAGGTTTTTGTAGAATACAATTTATTGAATTTATGTATTTAAAGTTTACTTAGAGTAAAAATCACCCCTGTGTATAGTTTTTTTTAATAAATGTTAAGAAGCATGTATCTACCATTCCAATAATGATACAAAAAGGTTCTACAAGCCCACTAATTTTTTTTTTGTTTGTTTGTTTTTCTAGACAGGGTTTCTCAGTGTAGTTTTGTGCCTTTCCTGGAACTCACTTCGTAGACCGGGCTGGCCTCGTACTCAGAGATCCGCCTGGCTCTGCCTCCCGAGTGCTGGGATTAAAGGTGTGCGCCACCACCGCTCGGCCAAAATTTCCTCTTCTATTTCTTTGTAATTGATCCCCCCTCAGGTGGCAACTACTGATGTTTCCATCTCTGTTTTGCTTGTCCTAGAGTGTCATAAGTGGAATCCTTTCTTTTTGAGATAAGATTTTACTGTGTGTCCCTGGTTGGCCTGGAGCTCACAGAGATCCTTTTTTTTTGCCTTTCTGAGGCCTGTGCCACCACACCTGGCTTCTGTGTAGCCTATTTAGCCAGGCTTCTTAACAGAATGCAGAGAAGTCACCCCTGTACTGCATACATCACCTTGTCCTGCCATTCCTGTACTTAGGAGTGGTGTTCTGTACTGCATGCATCACCTTGTCCTGCCATTCCTGTACTTAGGAGTGGTGTTTTGTACTGCATACATCACCTTGTCCTGCCATTCCTGTACTTAGGAGTGGTGTTCTGTACTGCATACATCACCTTGTCCTGCCATTCCTGTACTTAGGAGTGGTGTTCTGTACTGCATACATCACCTTGTCCTGCCATTCCTGTACTTAGGAGTGGTGTTCTGTACTGCATACATCACCTTGTCCTGCCATTCCTGTACTTAGGAGTGGTGTTTTGTACTGCATACATCACCTTGTCCTGCCATTCCTGTACTTAGGAGTGGTGTTTTGCTCTGTGGCTGTGTTATAAACAAAGGTTTGCCATTTTTTGTAGTATTTCTTTTTTGGCATTTAAAAGAAAAGCTGTATCAGGTTTTAGTGTGAACATAAATTATTTCTTTGGAGTAAATGCCTAACAGTGGGGTGTTGTGAGTGGTAAATACATACGTAACTTTATGAGAAGTGACATGATATGATTTGGTTATGGTCTGGTTGTATTTCCTAAAAGCTCTGTGTTGGATGCTTAGCTCATAACTGGGTGATGATAAGGAGTGCTAGGGTCTTTTAGAAGTAGGCCTAGTGGGAAGGTTGTTATAGTGGCCCCTCACTGGCTTTCAGTTTCCTATTGTGGGCTCAATCTACCACTGTGTGTGGTGGTGGTGGTGGTGGTGGTGGTGGTGGTGGTGGTGTGTGTATAATTCACCATAGCTGCTACTATGCCATTTGAATTTCCAGCTTCCAAAACTGAGTCAAATATATTGCTTTCTCTGTAAAAACCAGTCTCAAGTATTTCATTATGGTAATCTCCCCGCTAAGGATCCACCCCCTCAAACTCAACTAATACACCTTGACACTGGTTTTCTGAAATGGTTATATTATTTTTGCACTTTCACCAGTTTTTATCAGGATTTAGTTGTACTTTATTCTCATGAGCATTTAATATCCTCATTTTGAAAAAAAAATTTTTTTTGAGGGGGTAGGTATGTGCATGTGGTATGCATGTATATATGGGTGTTTGCATGTGTGAACACTTGGTCCCCAGTTGGTGGAACTGTTTCGGAAGGATTAGGAGATGTGGTCTTGTTGGAGGAGGCCTGTCACTAGAGCCTGACTTTGAGGTTTGAAAAGATTGCCCAAGGCCTCTGCTTGGTGGTTGTGGATAAAGATGTGAGGTGAGCTCTTAGATGTTTCCTTGCTCTCCCCATCATGGACTCTAACACTCTGAAATTGTAAGTCAAATTAAGTGCTTTAAAATTTTATTTATTGCTGGGCGGTGGTGGCGCACGCCTTTAATCCCAGCACTCGGGAGGCAGAGCCAGGCGGATCTCTGTGAGTTCGAGGCCAGCCTGGTCTACAAAGCGAGTTCCAGGAAAGGCGCAAAGCTACACAGAGAAACCCTGTCTCGAAAAACCAAAAAAAAAAAAAAAAAAAAAAAAAATTTTATTTATTATATTTTATTAAGCTTGTTCTGGGGAACCCTTACACTGCCTTTGGAAGCTGGAATTCCAGGTGGACCTCCATGCCCATCCAGCATTTATGTAGGTTCTGGAGATCTGAACTCTGGTCCTTAAGTTTGTGTAGCAAGGCACTTCACTTGCTTTTTAAAACCATCTTCCCATCCCTAAAATGGTATCTTAAAGAGATATTCCAGTAGATATGTATTATTTAAAGCATCATGGCTTTAATTTGTGATTCCCTTGTAATGGTGTTGGGTATATTTTTATGATTTTTTGCTGTTTTATTTTGTCAGTGAAAAGGTCAGATCTTTGTTTTAAATTGGATTGTTTGGTTCTCTTTTCCTGTTGGGATTTAATTTTATATGTCATAAAATTCTCCCTTTGTAATTCCAAAATTCAATGAGTATTTTTTAATGTAACAGTAGTGTAGCCATCATCACTAATTCTAGAACATTTGCCCCCCCCCCCAAGAACAAAACCCTCAAGCCCATTAGCAGATATTCCCCATTCTTTATTCATGAATACTCCACCTCTGGCAGCCATTTGTTTTTTCTATCTTTATGGATTTGGTGATTCTGGACATTTAATTCAAATGTAGTCATATGGTATCCATCCTTTTGTTTCTGAATTCCTTAATTTAAGATATTTTAGAGATCTTTATATAGAAGGATGTACTGAATAGTATTCTATTTCGACCAGTTGGACATTTATGATATATTTCCAACTTTTTGGCTGTAATAGTTAATACTACTATAGATAATACATTCATGTGAAAGTTTTTTGAATGCATGTTTAAAATTCCCATTGCTAAGCTGGTGTGGTAGTGAATACTTTCAATCCGAACACTGAGGAGACAGAAGTGAATCCCTGAGTTCAAGGCCAGTCTGTTCTACAGATGGAGTTCCAGGACAGCCAAGGCTAGACAGAAAGACCCTGTCTGAAAAAACCAAATAATAAATAAATAAATAAATAAATAAATAAAATAAATAAATAAATAAATAAATAAAAATTCCCATTTGTGGTAAATATGTTATAAGTGGAGTTTCTAGGTCATGTGGTGACATAAGATATCAGTTGTATTTTGATAAATGAAACTAAAAAGCTTAAAGAAATGTCTCCTGAGAATTTCAAAAGTAGAAACTCTAGTTTTTTTAAAAAATTCATTGAAAATTTTGATAATGGAAATTAGATTGTGCATAAAAAATTTAAGATGATAGTGTGCTGGTTAGTTTTATATCCGCTTCACACAAGCTAGAGTTATTTGAAAGGAGGGAACCTCAATTGAGAAACTGTCTCCATAAGATCCAGCTGTATGGCATTTTCTTCATTAGTGATTGATGAGGGAGGGCCCAACCCATTGTGGGTGGTGCTGCCCCTGGGCTGCTGGTCCTGAGTTCTATAAGAA